TACGCATTATTTTGTGTGAGGAAATGAGGATCATGAGATATGCATGTGACATTAATGGAGAATTCCAAAACCAATTCTTTTAATCGGAAAAGGGGGTTAATTTGGAAAAAATTATTTTGTATTAAGCTTCATTGTGTGTTGTGTGATGAATAGTGTTGATTAATTTTCGGATTGCATGGCGCTATGTAAAGTGAATTCTAAATTTTTAATGCGTTATCTGATAATAATAAGTTGAGATTGTGTGAAAGGAAGGCTATTTTACAGTTAAGTTTAAATGGCGGTGCAAGAAATATGGTGATGAAAAATGGACATTTGGTGAAAAGGAGTGTAAGGAAGGGTACGTGGTTTGCGGAAAGTAGTTTGAGTACAGGTGATGAAATTTTATTAATTTCTTATTACTTGGTGATTAGACTTCCAGTTGACTACTGGATTTAGGATTTAGAAATTAGCAGTAGTACTGCAGCCACGTAATGAGATTCTGAAGACGATTAGGTATTAGGTAAGTTAGTATTTTTAATCATTTGAGGATATTATTTTTATGCATTGTTCTAAATGTAAGGGGAGTAAATAAATTTGGTATTATTGGAAAATTGTTATTATCAATGATTTAGTTTAAAGTAATTAGGATTGTAATCTAATTTTTATTAATTCAATGTATGTGCTTATTTATATTTTAAGTAGTGTTTTTTAAATTAATTATATTTTAATGATCGTGATTTTGTGAGTTATATACGAGTATTTGTAGTATTTTGGAATACGTTTGAGTAGTATACGTTGAGTATTTTCATGCATTTTCGTGAAATTTTTCTAATTTATGAGAAAAAAGCAGTTTACATGGATATAGTGAAGAGTGTGCGCAATGCCATTTTTGTGCAATTCTGGAATGTTTTTGTAAGTAAAAAATAAGTCGACGTGTACATGGTTTAGTGATATTTTAATTAAATGATAGTTATTTTGTGAATTTTATGTTTGTAGGAATTTGGTATACGTTTCAGTTGAAGTAAACGTGTATGGAAATAATTTAAATAGTTGACACTAAGTATTTGTAACTGTTTTTAATGTTTGCGTATAAATTCGTTGCTGACGTTATAATATAATAGATAATTTAGAGGTAAAAGTTTTTGGATATTTTATTTTATACGTGGAAATGTTCATCCTTGGAAAGGGTATATACTTTTTCGCGATGAGGTAATTTCATATATGTTCTTTTTACCAGATTTAAAGATTCGCAAAATTTTCATGCATTTTCGTAAAATTTTTCTAATTTATGAGACAAAAAAGCAGTGTACATGGATATAGTGAAGAGTGTGCGCAATGCCATTTTTGTGCAATTCTGGGATGTTTTTTTAAGTAAAAATAAGTCGACGTGTACATGGTTTAGTGATATTTTAATTAAATGATAGTTATTTTGTGAATTTTATGTTTGTAGGAATTTGGTATACGTTTCAGTTGAAGTAAACGTGTATGGAAATAATTTAAATATTTGACACTAAGTATTTGTAACTATTTTTAATGTTTGCGTATAAATTCGTTAGTGACGTTTATAATATAATGGATAATTTAGAGGTAAAAAGCTTTTGGATATTTTATTTATTTTATACGTGGAAATGTTCATCCTTGGAAAGGGTATGTACTTTTTCGCGATCAGGTAATTTCATATATGTGCTTTTTATCGAGTTTAAAGATTAAGAAAATTTTCGTGCAAATTTTTGTAATTTATGAGAAAATAGCAGTGTAGATGAATAAAGTTAAGAGTGTGTGCAATGCCATTTTTGTGCAATTCTGGGATGTTTTTTTTAAGTAAAATAAGTTGACATGTAAATGGTTTATGTGTATGTGCTATACTGAAAAACGCGCAAGGAGTTTGCGATTGTGCACTTTTCCCAATTTTGCAGTTAATATTTGTCATGATTAAGCAATTTTGTTACATAAAATTTCTAGCATCAGTGTAATTCGGCTAGTAGATTGTTGGAAAAAGTGTTTGAGTAAATAAAAAGAAAAAGAAAAGAAACATGTCTTTACTTCGTGAAGACAAAATGGCGGCGAAAAAAAAATAGAGGGTTGCTGTAGCAGAGTTGGTCGCCAAATTTTCGCCAAAAAATCGCCAAGTTACCATAATCCAAAGATCAACCAATAATAATTTCATTTAATAATAATTTCTTAATTTTGAATTATTTGTAAAAGTTCTTATTTAAATAATAATTTCTTAAAGTTAATAATAATTCTTAAATTTAATAATTTCTTAATTTTGAATTATTGTAAAAGTTTCTTAAAGTTAATAATTCTTAAAATTTTAAATTTAATAATAATTTCATTTAATAATATTCTTAAAATCTTCTTCTCCCCCCCTCTAGGTTCCTTACCCACGCTTAAAAAAAATAATGTCCAGTCATTGTCATTCGTTCATAGTACTAACGTTAGATGGTTTTCAGCATAAGGCTCCTAACAGTGTTTACAAGTACATTTTGAAAGAACTAGGCTACGTTTCATCTGACCTAAAGCACACAGGGTCCCTTGTAGTTGGTCCTCCTTTTAGTTGGGATGAATTATCCCCGAAAGATAAAAAAACAAACGAATGGCTAACGCGCATGCGACATGGAATACATTGGAATGATGGAGATATTCCATACGATGACTTAAAAAACATCTTGCAAAATTTAACAAAAAATTTTCAATATATATACGTAAAAGGTAGCGAAAATGCAAAGGTTTTCTTAGATATATTGGAAAGGGAAATTCATGAAATAACAATTATAAACTATACAAATAGTGATCTATCACCACCTATGAGCAAATGCCCTTTTCATAGTTGTAGTAAAAGGTATTATTTCTGTGCGGGAAAAAAAGCTGCAAAGTATTGGACGAGTATTTCCGCAGGAAATTTCGTTGTCCATAAAATATATGCCCCTACTTCGGAAAGGGACAAAAATAATTACTGGGAGGACGATACTACAGGGGACAACTCGTATCCCGATCTTTCAAAATCTACTAACTAGGCGCACGGTACTGCAAGAAACATAATTCCTCCTCCTCGTCTACCTCAAGAAAAATTCTACTGGAATGATACTGCGAGACACATCGTACCTCCTCCTCATCTACCTCAAGAAAAATTCTACTGGAATGATACTGCGAGACACATCATACCTACTCCTCAACTTGACTCAAACTTCTATTGGAATGATACTGCGAGACACACCATACCGTCTCCTCAACCCGACTCCAAATATCTTGTCAACCAATATTTTCTTCATTTTTAATGTACTATTTCATTTTTTATTATGAATAAATACTGAAAGTATTATTTACCAGATGAATCTATTACTTTTCAAATTCTTGTAATGTGAGGGGAAAAAATCTACAAACAGAACAATTTCTTTCTTTTTTTTACCAAATTCTTACATTTTTAACATACCCTAAACACAAACACATACACAAAAAATTTATTTGTGTAATTTCTTTAATTAAAAGAAGCCATTATTAAACTTGACGCAAAACTACTCATGAGAATTTCTTTAATTAGAAGAGTTAAAGATATGTCTAACTTTTTGTAAGATTTGAAAAATTGTAAAATTTTGTAAGGTTTGAAAAATTGAAAGATGAATCAGGCTTTCCCTATTTTTTAATTCCTTCGATTCTTTTTACTTCTGAGTTGCATGTATGCGCGTTCAGAGGGTAATTTGCTATTCACTTATAACTTAAAAATTGTTATGCGTTCGAAAAATGAGGATTTTAAACTAGCTTTTTCTTTTTATAACATTTTTATTGTTATTCCCAAAAGTGTTGACGTTAAATTCTGGAGTGTTTCATTTTTACCAATCTGTCGAATGGCAATCTGACGTGTATTCTGACTTTACACTAATGCGATAACTTTTAGTACACATTAAAGAAGTATATTTTTTTGTGAGGGGGGAATCTTAATTATAAATGAATTTATATGATCCCCGAAAGAAAATTCATTTTTTTAATTACGCAATTTAGTTATGACAATTCAACTGCATTGAATCATTATATAGTAACATAATACAATTTCACATCCTGCTGTATCATGAGCGGAAAATATACTAATGAAATTTCATAAAGAATTTAAGCTGTTTCATACTACAGTGTCTCACAAAAGTGATGGGACACTTGTGCTTTACAAAAGGAAACTGTAATAAAATAAATTTGAAAAACAGGTAAAAAATTTTTTGTGTGTGTGTGTTTCATACTTAAATTTAGTAACAATTATTACATAAGATACATTTTCTCAAAATATTAATTTAATAAAAATACAATTGCTCAGAACGGAGCAAAAAATGGCTCACATAAGTGATGGGACACCATTAGATACTACTACGTAGTACAATAAAAATATTTTTTTTGTGTGTTTTTATTTTTACTCGAAAGCAATTGGCAATAATTTATAAAATCGTCTGCAGTATTTCTCTCCAGTTTGTGTTTTTTAGCTCTGTGCAGCCATGAATGCTAAACGAAAAGAAACTTTGCCTGAAATTCGAAAATTAGTTATTAATTTGCATATTGAACGTGGAAAATCTATTAGAGAAACTGCTGAAACAGTTAACTTGAGTCATTCAACAGTTTTCAATATCATTAAACGATATAAAAAAATCATATGATTCAGGATAAAAAAAGACCTGGCCGACCATCAAAGCTATCCAATGGAATAAAGCGAATTATCGTTCGAAATATTAAAAAAAAATCCAAGAATGAGTGCTCCTAAAGTTGCTGCTGATTTACAAGCATTATATGGAGTAATTGTTAATCCTGAGACTATTAGAAGAGTAATTCGATTTGCTGGATATCACGGTAGAGCAGCCAGGAAAAAATTCTTCGTAAGTGAAAAGAATAGAAAACTCAGACTGGCTTTCACAAAATCCAACATAAATAAAAATTCTGATTACTGGAATGAAGTTATATTTGCTGTTGAGAGTAAATTTAATATATTTGGTTCTGACGGTAGAATCTTAGTGTGGAGAAAACCCAGGGAAGAATTTCGCAAACAGAACTTGGTGCCAACAGTAAAACATAGTGGAGAAGGAGTTATGGAATGGGGGTGTATGTCGTCCGCTGGAGTTTGTAATCTCATTTTTATTGACAGTATAATGGATCAATACAAGTATATTGACATTTTAAATCAAAATTTGAAATCTTCACCACGAAAATTGAACCTTCATAATGATTTTAAATTCTACCAAGACAATGGCCCCAAGCACACTGCTTTCAACGTTAGACTCTGGCGGCTGTATAACTATCCTGAAATAATAAAAACACCACCACAATCTCCAGACTTAAATCCCATAGAGAATATTTGGCAAGTATTGGAATCAAGAATTCGCAAACACACCATTTCTTCAAAGCAACAATTAAAATCGGTGCTTCAAGAAGAATGGGGTAAAATCGCTTCAGAAATCATAAAAAAAAATTAGTCGAATCCATACCAAAAGATTAAATCATGTTTTAAAAGTAAAAGGAAATCCAACAAAATATTAAAACCTTCTAAAAAGTAAAATTTTTGGATAAATATTTGATGGAAAATTAAGTGTCCCATCACATGTGAGCCATTTTTTTTGCTCTGTTCTAAACAATTGTGTTTTTATTAAATTAATATTTTTAGAAAATGTATGTTATGTAATAATTGTTACTAAATTTAAGTATGAAACATACCCACAAAAAAATTTTTACATGTTTTTTTAATTTATTTTACTACAGTTTCCTTTTGTAAAGCACAAGTGTCCCATCACTTTTGTGAGACACTGTATATGAATCAATTATTCCAATAAAGCTCTATGCAACACCGATTTTATAATGAATGAAATGGATATAGTTTGTGTATGTTTTAAATATCAATAGGAAACGAATTTTGGATCTCTTAAATTATTAAGAAATTTAAATGATATTTTCAAGTATTGGTCAGAAAGAAATTGAACTTGGCTGGAGAAATATGTTTAATTAGTAGTTTTTCAAGTCAGAAAGAAACTTCTTGTGGAGAAATTGTTTAATTAGTAGTTTATAATTAGTGTTATTTAGTGTTAATGGAAAACTTTACTACTCATGAGATTTCTCTAATTTGAAAAAAAAGTTGAAATTTGGACATAAGATCTGCTGGAAGACTTTATCCATGAAATTTCCTAAAGCTCTATGCAACACCGATTTTATAATGAATGAAATGGATATAGTTTGTGTATGTTTTAAATATCAATAGGAAACGAATTTTGGATCTCGTAAATTATTAAGAAATTTAAATGATATTTTCAAGTATTGGTCAGAAAGAAATTGAACTTGGCTGGAGAAATATGTTTAATTAGTAGTTTGTTTGTTTACAATAATTTATTTAGTGTTAATGTAACTTGGAAAACATAAATAAATCGAATTTTGGATCTCCTGGATTATTGTTAAGTAATTATTAAGAAATCTGAATGATATTATCAAGTGTCGATGAGAAAGAAATTGAATTATTTTTACTTTATTTGATTGCGGAAATCTTTTATGGTAAGTGTTTTTTTTTTCCTGTTTTGGCATATTACAAAATTTTGTTTAGATTCATTTTTTTAGTGTTAATGTAACTTAGAACAAGGCACTAAAATTCATTTTTTAATTATGCAATTTAGTTATGGCAATTCAACTGCATTAAATCATTATATAGTAACATAATACAATTTCACATCCTGCTGTATCATCTGCAGAAAATATACTAATGAAATTTCATAAAGAATTTAAGCTGTTTCATACTATATGGATCAATTATTCCAATAAAGCTCTATGCAACACCGATTTTATAATGAATAAAATGGATATAGTTTGTGTATGTTTTAAATATCAATAGGAAACGAATTTTGGATCTCGTAAATTATTAAGAAATCTAAATGATATTTTCAAGTATTGGTCAGAAAGAAACTGATCTTGGCTGGAGAAATATGTTTAATTAGTAGTTTTTTGTTTACAATAATTTATTTAGTGTTAATGTAACTTGGAAAACTTTACTACTCATGAGATTTCTCTAATTTGAAAAAAAAAGTTGAAATTTGGACATAAGATCTGCTGGAAGACTTTATCCATGAAATTTCCTAAAGAATTTTGCCATTATATGTTTGTAACATAAATAAATCGAATTTTGGATCTCCTGGATTATTGTTAAGTAATTATTAAGAAATCTGAATGATATTATCAAGTGTCGATGAGAAAGAAATTGAATTATTTTTACTTTATTTGATTGCGGAAATATCTTTTATGGTAAGCGTTTTCTTTTTCTGTTTTGGCATATTACAAAATTTTGTTTAGATTCATTTTTTTAGTGTTAATGTAACTTAGAACAAGGCACTAAACACAAAACTACTCATGAGATGCTTGTAATTAGGAAAAGTTCTTTACTACCTAAGGTAAAGATGGGTCTATTTTTTTTTCACTTATGGATAAAATATAGATAACAGTATGTCATGGGTTAAAACATTTCCGTTAGGGTAAAAGTATAAAAGTGGTTATGAGATTGGAACATTTTAGGGGCGGGGGGTCCATTGGAAAATTCATGAGAGCCTTTTGAATAAGATGCTTTGAAATAGGTAAAAATTAGGTGATTTTGCCAGTTGAGAAAAATTTTTAAAGAAAGAGAATTTTCATTTAAAAGTATCAAACTCTCATAGTAAATTTTACATTAACAAAGTAAACCTTAATACATGAAAAAGGTATGCGCACACGCATATTGGAAGCCGTAAAGGTCTTACGCGCATGCGTCAACGCGAAGCATGCGCAGAAAGTTTGTAGCTTCGAGGTCCGGATTATGGGTGTCCGAATTAACGACTTTTGACTGTATATACAGCCTACCATGGAATCTGGTGGGTAAGACTGCTGAACATTGATAGTTAGACAAACCCCAAATTATGGTGAACAAATTCGCTCCATGGATGCTTCCGTAGTTTTCCCTATATATAACATGAACAGAGGCAGTTCTTCGTAGAAAGTTATCATGAAGGCATCTTTTTTCCTTCACAGCCCAGCAGGTAAGACAGCTGAGCACTGATAGTTCAGTCCAAGTTCAATTCCAGGAAAACAGATTGGCTGCATGCATGTTTTCATAGATAGATTCTCCCTTGCATAACATGAGTGCAAGACAGTTTCCGTCAGAAAGCCCTCCTTAACAGCATTATTCCATCAAGGAATATACACTAGCATACTTTTCCATAACTTAATAAATCCAAATCTCTTTAGGCAGAGACAGTTTGTGTCTGAAATCTGAACTATAGATATGTTATGAAATAGATATAAGTCTTTTTCCGCATATATATTTAAAAAATACCTCAGAAAATAGAATATTAATT